GACGGGAAAAGATAGAGTCCCAGAGTTTAAAAAAAATAGAGCTTTACCAAGGGGCTCCAAAAGATGTGCCTGAACAAATCACATCAAAGATCAAATACCTCCTCTTCCTTTGGAGGATGAACAGAGAACCCAAAAAAATAATCCATGCTTTGAACCCCTAACTTTATATAAATTCATTCGTATCCAAGATGAGAGGCAGTGGAAGGTGAATAAGACTTTCAGAGTTGAAATTAAGCTCTAATTCTAGTTGTGGTGGCCATTTGTCAGTTTCTAGCACTACTGTTAAATTATCCTATTGGCACAGTATCCTGGGTCACTAAATCCCTTGATGAGCTCAAAAGGACCTAATGTCATAAAAGTATTATTTTAGGAGGTCATAAAAAGAATACCAATCTCTTCTCAGCCTTTTGGCTAAGATCAAGTGTAAAAGGAATACCAGTAATCTAGATTAAATGTTCTAATCCATTTATTGTTTTGATAGTAGATCTGAAAATGTACTGAAACCATCAAAAGAGATAGTACAAATGTGTACCAAATAAAAGCAACAGAAAAAATAGGGGTTACGAGTAGGATAGTGGAATGTAGAAAAAGAGAAAAAAGCAAACATAAGAAATCATACTAGTTTAATGGCAGACTAGAAAGATAAGTGGGCTGAATCAAAATTAAAATAATTTCAAAGAGAAAGGGGGTAACAACAAATACGGACCATTGGAGTGAAAAGCGTGAAAGAGAAAATGTGGTTTCTCTGAGCAAGTCAGATGCAGGAGGCATGGGGAAAGTGGGAGAGCTGATCATGAGAATGTTCCAGGGTGTCTGGGCTTCTGTAAGAATTTATACAAATTAGAGGAGATTGGAGAATCCAGGTAGAGTAGAATGTTTGGATAGCCATTTTCCTTATAAGACACTCTACGATGGTTAATCTTGACTGTGATTTGATTGGATTGAGAAACACAAAGGAAACTAGTAAAGCACACTTCTAGGTGTGTCTGTGCGTCTGGCTCCAAAGATTGCAACGTGGAACAGCAAAATGAGTGGGATAACCTACCCTTAAAGTGAACAGCACCTTCCAATAGTCTCTACGTCCAGTGGGACAAAAGCAGAAGGAGGAAGCCCCAGAGCAGGTTCTCTCACTCTTTCTCTGCTCCCTGGCTGCAACGAGGAGAGTAGCCGCCTCTATCACAGGTTCCCGCCAACACAATATTCTGCCTCACCACAGGCCTAAATGCAGTGGGGCCAGGCAACCATGGACTGAAACCTCTGAAACCAGAAGCCAAACTCAGCCCCTCCTCCTTGAAGTCATTCTTCTCTGGCATTATATCACAGCAACAGAAAGCTGATGAGCACAGACTCCACAAGAGGAGAATTTACATGAGGCCTTAAAGATGAACCGTGTGTGGTGTGAGGTACACCAAGTTTGTTTGAGCTCAGGGGGTGTCATTCCATGGCGGTGGGGGGGCGGTGGTCAGAGCAAGCAGAGCCGTGGTCCACTGTGCAGAAGTGAGAAGAACCATGCCTGACTGCAGAAGAGAGGAAAAAGCCTAGAGAAGGTGCCCAGAGAGGTTCTCTCCCTAAGGAAATGGTAAAACCATTCCTTCAACAGCTTTCCTCAACAGAGGCAATGCCCCTAGGGAGCTGGTTTGGCCCTCACCTCTGAGAAAATCCATCACATCAACGTCTCCAAGCAAGCTTAAAAATAATAACAATAATAATACTTTACTTAAGAGAGGCAAGCCAGTGAGTTTCATGGAAATACAGCTGGAGCAATGAATTTGCTGCTTCGGAAACATCAACTATGGGCAAATGAATCACCCAGGGAGCTAATGGGCACCTCTGAGGCACCCCAGGGCGCAATCATCATGAAACAAAGGCCATTTAGTTATTTGCCCCCCCCCAGCATTGCATAAAACAAATAATATATTTGTAAGAGATGTATTTAGGAAAAAAACAGAAGGATAATTAAGTAGAGGGCAGAAGAGTTGGAGTTTGGTGGCAACCCGGGTGGGAAGAGGTTGGTGAAAGCAGCACAGTGGGAAGAGTTGGGCACTTTGTAAGGCTTGTATTATCGCTCTCTTCCCATGAAGCACTATACATACAAATAAGGCAAGGGTAATGAGGGAATCCATTGGAAAATGAAAAGCAGGATCACAGAATTAGGTCAACGATAAGTACATTATGATCACCTGGAGTGTATAGAATATTTGCTTCTCAGCAAGAGACCTCACAAAATGTAGAGGATCTCAAGGCCATAGATGTTCAACCTGACTTAAACATTACACAGTGCATTTGTGCATCGAAACATCACACAGTTACCCCACTAACGTGTGTGATTGTCATGCTCTGTGTCAGTTAAAAATAAATAAATACAATATTCCCTCATTCATAGTATATTGCATAACCTATAAGGTTGAGTGAATAAATAAACAAGTGCATAAATCTCCTGACAGAAATCGAAGTTCTCTCCCAAAGATACAGAAGGGAAACCTCTGCTGCGTTGCGTGGAAACATTCCCACACCTCCGGCCATCAGCTGAGTCCACGGCATCTACTGAAGGTATGGGAAAATCAGAAACAGTCAGCTCCTCCAAGGGCTTCAAGGCACCGTAGGAACTCTGCTCCCTTCTGGGTGGACACATCCTTCCCTGCGCCAGCACCAGTGTGTCTGTCTGTCAAGTGAATACTGCTGCACTCCTGGAAACCACCCTTGGGATCTTCACTGAGAGGTATTCCTGACTAGAGATACAGACTGTGGAAATGAATTTGTTTAATAAAAGCCTCTTTTAACAAAACAAAAAGTATTAAAGCCCTGTCAGTGTAGCGACCATAAGGTTTCTGCAGTGATTACAAAAGATACTTGCAGGTTCTCTAAAATAAAAAGAAGAAGCCACCAGCATACAGGCACCGATAGTGACCTCTGCTATAAAGCCAGGTAAGGCACCCACAAAGCTGTTACTAGGAAATATGAAAGAAATTATATCACAAATTTTAAGAGAAAAAAATGGCTTCTGGAAATAAATGGCGTTACTCAAAACCCTTATCTCCTCACGGTAACCTAAAGTATAATTTTGGCAGAAGAGTTCCTCAATTTAGCAATTAATGTAGGAAAAAACTTCTAATCATTCCTCTAAAATGATACATTTCACCCACAGATCTTTTTTTCATGACATTTTTTGTGAGCAAAATGAGCTTGAACTGTATATGAATTCTCAAAATTTATCTCAACAGAATAAATTTATATTAATACTGGAAAATCTCTTTAACCCCATCCACACTCCCAGTATCAATTTAAGCTTATAGTGATGTTACAACAAAGAGGAGAATAAAGTATCAGCTAATCCTTCAAATGGGCACCTTCTGATATTAATGACGTTTTAAAGAGTAGTGATACTTTATTCGTTTTCTTGAAATATTAGCTCCATGTCAGAGAGCAGTTAATCTACTAAAGAAAAAAAATTGTAAAGATCAGTATAAAACTATCAAAATAACAAAAACTATTGCCCTTTAGATAAATTGTTACAACAGACACAGAAGCAAACAATAGTTCCTTGGAATGTACCAGGGAGTAACATTCAGATTTGAGCATTGATGTATGTCATCACACAATTTCTGATTCGCTCATGTCCATCTTGATGACCAAATACTGATCTGAAATTAAATCTTCTCTTCTCTCCCAGCCTGCCCATTTCCCAAACTGACTTCTCTTTATCTTCTCTCCACCCAATAAAATCCCTGTCCTCCCAGCTGGATCTCCAAAGACGGAAAAGAAACCTTCTCACCAGAAAAAAGTCAGTCAAATATCAAATGTGAGAAACAGTATTATAGAAATCTGAGCATTTTCATTAATCCCTTTATCTTCATTATGATACCTGTATCAAACACATGTCTTGGAGAATAAGTCTTAATATATAGTTCCCATTTACAAAATATTTAGAATATCTCAAGAAGGCAATAAAGCACCTGAGAATAATCCCGACCTGTGTAACTTATACTGCCACATCCATTATCTCTTTTAACATTTCCAAAATCCCCTGAAAGACAGGAGCTGCCTCTCTCTCTCTCTCTCTTTCTCTCTCTCTCTCTCTCATTCCTCCAGGGGAAGACTGCTGGAATGTACAGTTGGACAGGAGAAGGTATCAACCAGAGCGAGAAACTGCTTGGGTGCATTACCCTGGGCTGGCAGATCCTAAACTTGAACTTGTGCCGTTGAGCGAGGCTGTGAGATGGAACAAGTGCTAATGAAGGAGCCGATGCCATGGCAACACCCAGGGGCTAGAGAGTCAAGTTCCAACCCGAACAGCACTACGTGCAGGGTGAAGGACGAAGACGACTGGCAGGATACGGGGAAGCTGAGCCTCAGCGAACCGTCCCGGTGTAGCCCTAAGGAGGACAGGGAGGGGAGGATGGGGGGCAGGGAGGGGGTCCTCAGGAGAGAATACTGAAGGCCATTTCTACTCCGCAGTAGAGAAACAGAGAAAAGGATAAATTGGTTCAAGAAAGAATGAGAAATTCCAAGGGACCCAGAGAGAGCTGCAGTCCTTCAGGGACTCGGTTGAGAGCTTAGAGCCGCTGTGCCTGCTGGCACTAAGTTAGGCCCCAATCGCAGGGAGCAGAGGCTCTTCAGAGAGAGGACATTCAGCACACTGAGTTGCCTACAACTCCTGGACAAAGCAGACAAAACAGTCTGAAAGAAAACTCAGAATCAAATCATCAAACGCCAAAACTGACACACCGAGGATACTCTGGAGAGGGCTGGAAAACACACTCTAGATTCCAGAGCCGTTTTCCCACTTTGAGCCAAACTGGAAATAGGATGTCAGAACCTGTTTATTACGTTAGAACTGTGAGAACCTACTTGGGTTGTAAGTAAAGCCACATCTAAAATAAAAGAAATAGCACTGACATCTGGAAGTCATACTATCTGTGCAAAATTGCCCATCTGCCGTGCTGACCACAAGCCCGAGGCCGGGCTGGGTCCCACGGGGAACTGAGATTTCAGCAACTCACCGATGAAGTGATTTTGTCCCAAGGACAGCATCTCCTCCAGGAGGACCAGGCCCCCCGGAGCCTGCAGGGGCGTCACGCTCCGTCCGTCTATGAGGGAGCACTGTTGAAACCCCGTGGCCGTGACCTTCCACAGCAGGATCAGCGACATGGTGGCATCTTGCCGAATCCTGAAAATGGGAATGATGTAAGTGCAAAAGCCCCTTGGGAGAAGTTCATCTTAGAACCAGTTCATCGAATTGAAAAGTAAGATGATGAGTATATCCACAAAAATATCAGGAAACTAAGGGAATGGTTATATAAACAAGTGCTCACGCAGTGCACACTCAAGTTTTCTCACACTCCTTACACATATCTACCTCCCACTTGGTTCAGTATATACCACAAGATGAGCAGAGTGCCTCACCTTTGCGTAACGTTTTAGTGAATGCGGAAGGAGCATGCTGAGATCTTTTACACACAAACCCTCCCATACCCACACAATGGAAAAAGGGTGCTGCTTACATTATTACAAATGTGTGCCGTGTCCTAACACGGCCACCCAAGTGATACTGCCAAAATGAGCAAATTGGGTCCCACTCCCATGCTCCAGGCTTTTTGTGGCTTCCAAGATAAAATCCAGAGAAGATGACTATCAGCCACCCCACCAGGTCCCTCTCAGTGTCACTCCTCCGCCTCCATGCCAGCGACCGACCCAGTGCTTCTGCAGGGAGGCAGCTCTGAGCTTTGCGTCTTCCTTCTCCACCCGGGAAGTATATTCCCACTCACACAGAACCTCTTCTTTCCGAGACTCCTGACCTTCTTCCCACCGCCCCAGCAGCGGCCCATTTTCCCTGCACCCGGGAGGCCTGGGCTTCTTCCTGGGTCAGAGGATCTCAGCGACCCTGCACCAAACTGACCCCCCAACCCCATCCCCAGCACAGAGCTCCCACCTGGCAGCACAGGACCCAGTGAGGCTTCTGGCTTTACTAAACAACCAAATTCATGAGTGAGTGGAAGTACAGGGGACTCAGAACCCCATCTGTGAATTCAGAGCACCAACAATCACTCGGTATTCTGTGCAGTTCAGCAACCTAAGGGAGCCTCAGACAACGTCAGGTTTGTTGGGAGGGGAAAACAAACAGGATAAAAGAACCAGAACTAAGCAGAAAGGCATATGAAGGCGAAGTAATGTGGTCTAGACAAGGAAGGGCTGAGAGGAGATTTGTAGAAGTGAAGGAAGCTGGTGATCCTCATCTGTCCTTCCCTCGGAGCAGCTCTGGACCTCAGAGCTGTCCGTGGACTGAAACCCTTAGGACCGGGGTCCCCCTGCTGGTGCAGCTCGGCGCGGCCTCACGCTGCATCTCTCTTCTGATGGGGACCTCCTCTGCCCTTCTTGGCTCTCCCCTCGCCAGAGTGGCTAGAGGCTGGGAAAGGGGTTCAGGGGCAACGTAACAACACCCTTCTTCCAGATGCTTCCAGAGACTCTGCAGTTGGGAAAGCAAGTCCTGACCAGGCGCATGGAAGAGGTCTACAGTGCCCGCTCGCCCTTCACAGGGGAGCTAATGCATCAGGGACCCCAGTCTTCTAACATCCCCCAAAACTGGACAGAAAATGACCCTGAGGTTGCCTAGAGGGATGGGGAGCGTGGCAGTTAACGGCAACAAAGAAGCAGCAGTGGGGATGTCGGCCGGTCTGGGACTCTGCCGGCTGCACCCTCATCCGCATCTGCTGCCCCTGGGCAGCTCTGAGCCCAGGCAGAGCGGCTGGCACACATCAGCCGCCACTCCCTGAGGCCACTTCCCTTTGCCTCTTCCTCGTCTCACCTGGGACAACCCGCAATCTGCAATCGGAAAGAGCCTAAATTTAAAGGAAAACACTCTTCTCAGCTGCTTGCTTTTAAAAAGAAAATTGTAATATGTGGGTTTTAAATTTGGGCCACATTACACAAATAGCTGTAACCAATGGTCCATTAAAATCTTAAGAGGACGATAATTTAGGAAGCAAAAGGCACTGGGAGAGGAGGTGACTGGCTGTGAATCTTCTCAAAGGTCTCATTTCTTCCCTCATATTGGATTCATCCAATCCAGTTTTCTGACTCCGCATCTCTAATCTGGCTTGATCCTAGCTCCACTGTGCTCCTCTGAGTAGCTCCCTCCAGTTTTCAAGGGCCAGGAGCCAGGAGAGTCTGTGATTCTCACTGGACCGGCCAGTGATGGATCAGGTACACGGACAGACACCACGCGGTATACGGGTCATGGCATCAATCTGAACAGGTTTGAACCGAGAAATTTCTTACTTTACTGAGGTGTTCTGTGGCACTTCAAAGGACACCAGGCGGCCACCCGCAGAGCTATTAGAACTGGCATTCCCACAGGCAATATCTGGGATCACCTGGGCAAAAGAAAATAAAACAAAAGATAGGTTACTGGGGTTGCTCACAGTACAAGATAATATCCTAAAGCCAAATTCCACGCGCTGCATCCTGCCTGTGCCTCTGAATGATGACGCTGTGGTCCGACTAGAGGGCAGCCCGGTGAAGCCTTAGGAACCTGCAGGAGAATGAAGGCTGTGCCATCTGATTCTCTGAAGCAGAGCTTCCCTGAGAGCAAACTACAATCCCCAAGGGCTGTTGAAAGGAATAAATAGGATTTTTTGGGAAAGAGTAGGGCCGTACCCCCTGGTCTCTTGCCTTTCATTTAACAGGCATTCTCTGGCTCCTGCTCTATGCCAGCCCGCTGTCCTCCAGGGACTGAATGCTTAATGGACACAGGCTGTCTTCAGACCAGCTCCGGGCAGTGGGCATGCGCCTTCGTGCCAGAGGGGCGAGCCTCGACACCTGCGAAGACAGTAGCATCTGTCTCTCGCTCTGTTCCTGCCTCTAAGGGGCATCAGGAACCCATGCTGAGGCCGGGGAGCGGGGAAAGCTGCCCCGCCCAGAGAAGCTTATAGCTCAGTGCTTCTCTGTGGGCGCATCTACAATTGTAAGCGACACTTTGCATGTAAAAGGGGAGCTCAGTCGGCGTGGGGGGCTGTGCTCATCAGAGAGCACATGGCAGACCAGCTGTGCCTGTGAGAGGCTGGTGACCACTTTCTAGCATGCCGTCCTTACCGCCCGCATCCATGAGAAAGTGAAGGGGCCTGAAAACTATTAGCCATCAGGCACGCCTGTAATCCCATCACTCCGGGAGGCTGAGACAGGAGGATTACAAGTTTGACCCCAGCCTGGGCAATTTAGCAATTTAGAGAGAACTTGTCACAAAATAAAAGTAAATAAATAAACAAAACAAACAAATAAATGCAAATAAATAAGGATGGGCTTGTAGCTCAGTGCAAAAACCCTGAGTTCAGTCCCCAGTATGGCCAAAAAAAAAAAAAAAAAAAAAAAAAAAAAATCACAGAATTAACTGAGAAGACAAAAATTCTCAGCAATTTCAACCCAGACCCAACATCTAAAAGTTATTTTCCAGAACACTCTGTAGTTGATTGCTATGGCTAAAACCCACTGTTGTACTCAAAGGTGTGAGTCCAACTTCTATAACAGAGCACTCTTACATAGGTTTTCATCTTCTAAGGCTCCAAGTAGCTTTATGCTTCTAAAGCACCATTACTCCATGAAAAGTGGAAGCCCAAACGTATCCCCATGGTTTCCACTGGCACCTTTAACCTGCTTCTCAAACAGCCGAGAAATCAGAGCATGACAGAAAGAGGAGACATTTCGTTTTCACACTTCCCAACTGTAAGATAGCATGAATTTAAATAAATATGGTTGGGGAGAAATTTTCAGTAAAGGACACTTCCTTGATAAACTTGGAATCAAATCTAGTTCACATTTTGAGTCATCCAGCAAAGAGATATTAAAACTGTAACTTCAAGGCACTTATTAAAAGTCTGAAATCAGAACAAGTTTCACAGCTTTTTAGTAGGCTAAAAACATTGCCCTGCAGTCCCAGTGTGGCCTCCATAAACAGTGATAGCACTAAAAATGAAGTGGGTCAACTGGTTAGTGCCCAAGAACATAAAAGAAATGCTGCCTACCTCTTTTACAACAATAAGAGAAATTTCTAGACACATTCCTTAACTATAACATATGATATATAAACATGATGCTTTTCATTTAATCTATGAAACTTGTAGTACCATGCCAGAAGCTGTATATGTTGTAGCAGACCAGACAGATTAAGACATATTACAGGAAGGAAGCAGGTTGACAATGTGGGCTCCTGTGATACATTCCTTTACGAGGTATGCTTGAAAATTATGGTGAATGCTTAAGTTTTGTGATTTATTACAATATAAGACACACTGACATTTATCCCCTCAAAATAATCACCTTCACTTTGAACATACTTATCCCATAGTTCTTGCCATTTCTGAAGCAGTTCTGTAAACCCACTTTGGTGAGTATCTTTAGTTGCGCCGTCAAGGATGCCTCAATGTTCTGAATCTATTCAAAACATTTAACCTTTCATTGTCATTTTGACTTCAGGGAAGAGCCAGAGGTCTCCTAGTCCCAGATTTCTGTGAATAAGGTGGACCAAGACACACTGTAATGCTTTTACACTCTGCCTTCCTGTTAGACGGCCCTCGGCAGCAGGAGTCATTCTATTTTTTATACAACTTGTAAAAGCAATCAGGAAAGAGGACTTCCAGGACTGCTTTAGAAAATGGCAAAAGCCAGGCATGGTAGCATATGTCCATAATCCCACCACTCAGGACACTGAGGCAGGAGGATCACTGCAAATTCAAGACCAGCTTAGGCTACATAGTGAGTTCCAGGCCAGTCTGAGCTACACAGTAAGACCCTATGTCAAAAAACAAAAAACAGGGCTGGGGATATAGCTCAGTGGCATAGCTTGCCTGCCTGACAAGTGCAAGATCCTGAGTTCAGTTCTCAGTACCAAAAAAACCAACAACAACAGCAAAAAAGTGACAAGAAACATAGGATAAGTATGTTCAAAACAAAGGTGGGTATTTTGAAGGGAATTAATGGTAATATTTCTCTTCCTATAATGAACATTCACCATGTATTTCTGTCACACTTTGTACACTGTGATATTTTTCCCCAGATTTAAGATATCTCACAGCAATGTATATGCCTATCATTCCAGGAAATAATTTCATTCATGTTTGGGTCTATCGACTCTTTTTAGGCTTATAAAACCATCATACACACAAGGACAGACAGCAGTAAAGTTAGGCACATGGTTTCTCTCACTGGGTAACTTATAAGTCTTCCATTTTTATTGCACATATTAGAACTCTAGAATTATTTCCACATTTCTGGTTTCCCATGTGAGAATACATGCCACTCAACATTCTCACCTCCACTTGGTCCCATTTCATTTCTATGACTTTCTGCCCTGTTTTCGGCTGCCAGGTTGGCAGGGTCACAGTTGCCTGAGAGCGGGGCAACATCACATCAGGCTCCTGGGTCGGGGGGACAGGCTGAAGCTGCGTGGACTCGGTCCAGCCTGAGGCGGGGAGCCCGGGAAGTGGCTGTTCACAGTTGGGACCTGTATAGCCCTCAGTGCAGATGCAAAGGTAGCCATAGCCATCGCTGCTGCTGCAGTTGCCATGGTGACAAGGGTTGCTGGCACAAGGATCTGCAACAAGCTGAAATGAGACCATAAATGGGTCAATTATTTCCTCATAAGAAAAGTGGTGCCATTGCTAGGAGATTAGCTCCTTGTCTCAGAGCTGGTGCACTCATGGCCCTGTAGAACCCATGTCCTTAACTACGCATGCATCCAAGGTCACCCCAACATTAACTTCACCGCAAATGACAGGTGCCATGCAAGGGAAAACACAGTGGGGAGCAGCTTCCCTGAACCCCAAGCCCTAAATAACACTGATTGCAGGAACACAAGGTTTAGAGGAATTTTTTAAGGTAACAATGGTTAAAGCTGAGGTTTATTAGGAGAGAAGCAACTCTGACAAACTTAGCTTCACCCATGACGAATGGTATTAGTCATCTAAATTGGACTCTACTTTGTCACATCCTGGACCTCTGAAAGGTTTCTCGTGAGTAATGACCACAAGTGCGTATGCCCTGCCTATGGGTTTCCCTATGTCTCTGAATTTCCTCCATGACCAGTAACCCTTTTAAAGGCAAAGCTATTGAATTAAAGATTTCCAAAACCATCCATTCACATGACAAATGCTAGCTAGAAGCGAGCATGATGAGGACTTAGGTAGAAGTTTATGAAAATTTTTATCGCATTCTGGAGGGTGATTACAGAGCGTATGACCCCATTGTGTATGGAGAATAGCACTTCAGTGATTTTTCTTCACACTGTGTTTCTGTTCTGCGAGAAGTGTTTGTCTCTGCGTCCTTTGCTGCTGACCTCTGAGGCCCCTTGCCGATGCTTGGGGACACAGCACCGAACAAGGCCAGAGGATCACCTGCTCCTGGGCTTCCGGCCTGTGCTCCACGCTATTCAATTATGATTTCTTCTGTGATAAAAGCAAATTAGATCTCTAGCTGCTCTACCCTTGGCTTCTCAGAGCTGACTGCAAAAGAGAATTCAGTACAGAATTAGACAACAGAGAAATGAGACCCTCCATTTTCTTGTTGCAATGAGTTCACCCACATAGACAGCAGTAGAGAGAGTGCTATACATGGTGAAATGGCTACTCGTTCTGCTAATTACCCTCATCCAACAATTTCCAACAAACCTCTTAAGGAATAGGAAGGGATTTGGGATGGAATCCAATGGAGCTCCTAAAATACCACACTAATTCTGTGCTATCACTCGGCAGTTCCTTCACAGACGCTCAGATAAGGGGAGATGGGTTAGGCTCTGCAGAGAATATTGAAACAGTCGATAATTTAAAATATTTACAATCTGTCAAGTCAAAAGAAAACCCTAACTCCTTCCAAAGAAGACAAAGACCTACCTGATCTGGCCTCTTTCTACCTTTTGAGATCTTTTCCCATAAGACTTCCTCTTCTGGACCTGTCCCTCTGCACCCTGTCACTGCCCCTGGACTACACCCTGTTCATTCCCACCACAGGCCCTTTGCACCTGCTGGCCCTCTGCCTAAATGCTTTCTTCCCAGACTCCCCATTCTTTCATTCACCCCTCTGCTCAAGGGTCAGAGAAGGTTTCTGTCACTGTGAAATCCGAAATAATCTCTCTCTTCCCATCCTACAAAAATGCAAGCTCCAGAGACACACAGGCTTTATCCGCCTGATTGCTGCTTAGTCCCCAGCGCATGGAGGAGCACAGGAAACATGGCAGCCCTTTAAAAAAAAAAAAAAGGCTGAAAGAAACACAGATAGATTGACTGCTATTTGGAAAGCAAATGTGCGATGGGGGAGGGAGGGAGCTGCTCGTTCAGTCGTGATGTTGTTCATGCCCGATCTATGTTTAGGAAGGCTTCATGGATTGGGCATCCAGAAAGCAGACAGAGGGGAAAGGGACCTGATTCACTAGAACAAAATGAAGGATGGAAGCTACACTTCTGAAATCAACTTTTAAAACTCTGAGGGTGACCAAGTCACAGAAATGAATCTTAATAGGTGCGTGAAAAGGCAGCAGGACACTTGCATCCCAAGGGGTCAGTGCAAAATGCAGTTCTGGAGTCCACACCCCCACCGTGTGGTTTAGACAGAAGCATCGCTAAGACAAGCATCACTGCTCAGGTGACCAGAGGGTCCCCGTGCATTCTGCTCCTTTACACCCCTCTGCCAAGCACAGCTCATCCTTAGAGGCACAGGGCTCCCCCAAGGAGGTGCTAAGCATGGCGCAAGTCACCAGCCCTGGGAAAATGCTCAAAGCACAGGCACCCACCCCTCCCATGGCCTCTACATGGGGCCAGGGACAAATACAGTGAACATTTAAGTTAAAAACATTTATTACTGTAAAAATTACTGCATCGCCATTAGTCACCCCTCACAGTATTTCCCCTCGCTTCAAGCACACTTATCCCGTCACTGTTGCCACTTTCCGAAGCAGTTCTGCAAGTCCTCCTTCCTGAGAGTCTTTACAAGGTGTCCTCTAACACATGGGGAATGCTGCTGCTGAGCGCCATCCCACTGAGAGGCAGCCTCCTGAGAACATTACAGTGTGTCCTGATCTACCTTATTTACTGGCACTGGGTAACTTCTGGCTCTTCTCCAAAGGCAAAATGACCAGGAAAAGGCAAGCATTTTTAATTGATTCAGGACCTCCAGGCAGCCATGACAATGCAGCTAAAGAAACTCATGCAAGAGGACCTGCGGAACTGCTTCAAAAAGTGGCAAGAACCATGGGATAAGCACCTCTGAAGAGAGGGGGAGTACTGTGAAAGGGATGAACAGCAATGTGTCTTTTACTGCAATAAATTCTCATCTCGACACACACATTTTTCTGTCACACTTCATACTGATGAACACCACCGTGCCGCTCCTCTCACCCTCACGTGGCCCTGGGTCTGTGTCACTGCCTGGAAACGGGAGGGCAGAGGAAGTGAGTGACATCACAGCCACCAGGAGACAAAGCAGGGCGGTGCCACATCCGAATTCCAGCTGGGGTGGGGTGGATTTTACATACAAGCTGCCAGGGCCCTTGAATGGGGCTGCCATGGAAAATGGAGTCTGGGTGTGCAGAGTCCTGGGCTTGAGAACAGTGTTCTGAGAGTGAGTCAGTAGCTAATCTGGGATAAAACGAGGCTGTCTCCGTGCGCCCCAGACGGGAGGCACAGAGCACAGCCTCTGCAGGAAGAGGCAGGAGGAGGGGGCACATCGTAGAGCAGACGGCTCTCCGTTCAGAGGAGCAGCCGTGCTCTGTCCTCAGCAGCCACGTGGGGGCCACTTAGTGAAGCTGGACACAGCAGCGGGCAGTGCCAGAGACGCTGGTGGACAGAGCCAGGGGCAACAGGCAGGTCCTCGCTGCAGTGCCCAATCTGTGGATCCAGGAGGCAGTGCCACCCGGTAAGGAACAAAGAGCCCGAAGGGGGATGGGGCGGAATCAGCAGCACCACCTGTCCAGATTCACAGGGAGAGGGACACACAGGAGCATTCAGGGCTCAGTGAAGAGGGAGTGACGGAGGCCAGCAGAAATGCTTGCATCAAAAAAAGAGGACGAACACGAAGAAGTAAACTGTCGATTGTACAGATTGTTTGGTGGGTCCTGGGGATGGAACCCAAGGCCTTCACACCGAGCTGCATCCCCAGCCCTTTTTCTAGTTCTTATTTTGAGACAAAATCTCACTAAGTCACTATGTAGCCCAGGCTGTGCTTGAACTTGCAATCCTCCTGCCTCAGCCTGTCAGAATGCTGGGATTTCAGGTGTGTACCACCAATTGTACAGATTTCTAAAGAGATTCAAAGCAGTGTACGGGGTGATAGACACATGAACGGACACATGAACACACACAGACACACACAGAGACACAGGCAAAGACACACTCAGGCACAAGATGCATGCAGACGCACATATCAAGATACACACACACACACACACACACAACACAAAGCAGAGAACTAAATGCATTCTACGGTCATTGATTCCTTTTTTAAAACAATCGTTTTACTCTCATCGGCTTCCTCGGCTTGTGCATCAGTTGTTTCATGAACAATAGCAGCTCCTTGCCATCACAATCTCTATCACTCCAGACTAGTTGCACTAGAAAAATTATGTTTTAATTCATAACAGCAAATATAAGATAAAATGCAGTGATTAACCTTTAAGCAAAATCCTGGCATCATTAAGTATTTACTGTCAGTCCTGCTTTTCTGTACACCATTTGTGAAGCTTTCTTTTAGGGCTGTGTTTGTACTGCAGCTTGGGGGAAAGTCCTGCTTCGGAGGTCGCTGTTGCTCTTGAGTCCCCTTAAGTGTGAACTATAAAGCAGGCAATAACCACACTGCCAAAACACCTCAGGAGACAAGATATCATAATGAACAGACCTCACTTTGGGAATGCTCAAATTTTAATAGGTGATATTTTATAGCTATAGTTTCTAGTTTCTAATGATGGAGAAAAATGATTAAGCCTTTGTAATACCAGCTGTAATAAAGAGTAAAGAGAAAGCCAATAGGTTAATGGCTTTCTGCTTTAGGTAACCAACACGCTCATTTATTAAGCGCTCTGTGTTTGTTGTATCTATTCGCTCATCTACACCATATTTTTACGTCATAAGATAATTTGAAATTGCTCTTTTCACATGTATCTTAGACTTGTTATCTGTAGCAGATAATTTATGCTGCACTCAAAGGGATGTACAGGGTATGGCACAGAATTGAGATGGGCGGCCGGACCTGCACAGAAGTGGCTCCCCATCCTGGACCGGTGATTCCAAGACAACCACAGTGTAACACTTTAGCCACAGTCTCTTTTCCTGACTTAAACTGTCTGTTATCCATGTTTCCACCAAGTCCCAAGTCCTCTGCAGCACCCAGACAGAAGAATGACAGGCTTATAGGCCACTTCCAAGATTTAGCTATTATGAGTGATATATGATCAGTGTAATATGGTGACTTAAACTCTTTTGGGAGGATACTCAAAAAAGGTATAGCTGGGGCTGGGGATTTAGCTCAGCGGCAAAGCGCCTGCCTGGCAAGCGCAAGGTCGTGAGTTCGGTTCCTGGTACCGGAGAAAAACCAAAAAAAAAAAAAAAAAAAAAAAGGT